AAAAAAAAAAAAAAAAAAAGAATTTTACCTCTGAACAACCAATGCTCATTTAATATATACCATTTCTTTATATAATTGCATTTTATTCTTTGTTGGGATTTTCTTCCTAAGAACCTTAAAGATGAGGGATTATACATCAATGCAGATTTGTTAAACTGGAGTCACATATGTCAGCATTTTCTATTTGATATCAAAGACTCAACACCCATGACAGTCTAATGAATGCATCAGGCTCCTCAAAACTATATAATTAGTTATGGGCAGTGTCTAGTAATTGGCTGTGCCATTACCTGTCAGTTGTCCTTGACAAGATTTTAATAACTTCAAACATCTTCTACTCATCATCATTTAAAAAAAAAAAATCAATTAGTGAATTTGGGGGTTTTTTTGGGGGTAATTCTGTCTTCTCTTAACTAACTTCTTTTTTATTATTATTCTTTTCTTAGGGCTTTTGCAAGGCATCTGTTAAAGCGAAAAATTGGGGTGGTGGTTGTTGGGTTTCCAGCCACCCCCATTGCAGAAGCTCGAGCTCGATTTTGTCTTTCAGCAGCACATACACGGAAGATGTTAGACACAGTGAGTATGCCACAGGCCAATGATGTTGTCTTTTGGGGTCTCTAGTATTGTGACCTTGGATTCTGAGTAAGTTCTTTCATTGAATAAGCACTTGTGGTTTCTTGGATTTCTCCTGGGTGGTTTAGAAATACAACAATAATGAAGACAACTGCTGAAAACAAAGGTATACCATCTATGCCCAGCAATGTGTGCAACTCAATAGACATAAAAGAAAATAATTTAAAGAAGATGGGTCTAGTCAGTGTTTAGGTTTCATAAAAAGACTGAGTAGCTGAATGCTGTGCTATTTACTTGTTCTTTGGTGCAAACACTGATCTACCAGGCTCTTGCAGCATCAAATTCCTGTATCTTCCCATTTTTATAGCCACTAAATCTGTGATTATAAAATATGATCAAACTAAGCAACCATAAGAAGAGAATTACCACAACAGCCAGATCTAACTGAAGTAAAAATGGTTTAAAAACCACATTTATCTCTTGATTACAATCTTTATATGAGTGAATAATATTAATATTACCTAAGTTTTATTGACTATGCAAAGGCATTCAATTGTGTGGATCATAACAAATCATGGATAACTTTGTGAAGAATGGGAATTCCAGAACACTTAATTGTGCTCATGAGGAAACTTTACATAGACCAAGAGGCAGCTGTTCAAACAGAGCAAGGGAATGCTAAAATCAGGAAAAGTGTGTGTCAGAGTTGCAACCTTTCACATACCTATTCAATTTGTATACTGAGAAAATAATCCAAGAAGCTGGACCTATGGAGAAGAACATGACGTTAGCATTGGAGGAAGACTCATCAACATCCTGCAATACGCAGATGAAACAACCTTGTTTGCTAGAAGTGAAGACATAAAGTACTTACTGATGAAGATTAAAGACGATAGCCTTCAATATGGATTACACCTCAACATAAAGAAAGCAAAAACCTCACAACTAGACCAATAAGAAGCACCATGATAAATGGAGAAAGGATTGAAGTTGTCAAAGATTTCATTTTACTTTGATCTACAATCAATGCCCATGGATGCAGAAGTCAAGAAATCAAACAATGTATTGCATTAGGAAAATCTGTGCAAAAGACCTCTTTAAAGTGTTAAAAAGCAAAGATGTCACTTTGAAGACTAAGATATGCCTGACCCAAGCTATGGCATTTTCAATAGCCTCATACTTATGTGAGAGTTGGACAATGAATAAAGAAGACTACAGAGCTGAACTATAAGGAAGATCAGAGAAGAACTAATGCGTTTGCATTGTAGTATTGGCGAAGAATATTGAATGTACCATGGACTTCTAGAAAACTGAACAAATCTGTCTTAGAGGAAGTACATCCAGAATACTCCTTAGATGCCAGAATGCTCCTTAGAAATGAGACTGGCCAGAACTTTGTCTCTAGACTTCAGGTCATGGTTTCAGAATGGACCAGTCCCTAGAGAAAGATATCATGCTTGGTTAAGTAAAAACCAAATCAAACCAAACACACAGCCATAGGTCAATTCTGACTCATAGCAACCCCCACTGGGTTTCCAAGGCTGTAAAATTTTACGGAAATAGATTGCCTCATCTTCCTCCCATGGAACAGCTGGAGGGTTCGAACCACTGATCTTCTCATTAGCAGCCAAATGTCCTTCCAGTGTGCCACCAGAGCTCTTGTGGTCAAGTATAGGGTCAGCAAAACAGGAAAAACCATCAACAAAACGGGTTGACACAGTGGCTGCAATGGTGGACTTAAGCATGGCAACAATTGTGAGGATGGTGCAGAACTAGACAGTTTCATTCTGTTGAACATAGGGTTGCTGTAAGCCAGAGCCAACTCTACGGCACCTAGCAACAAGAAGTCATATCAATCAGTTTGGGATTGATAAAACTGTCTCAAAATATCAATGCAGTTTAGCAAACACTATTGAGTGTCTAGTACAGGCAAAATTATGAGACAAAAAGATACAATTCTGTTCTCATGGAGTTTCCAGTATAGGGGAAATTACTAGTATATGTAACTAATACAAGACAATTCAATCACTTTGAAAAAGAAATACAGATAACTACAAGAGCATGGAGGTGAGAATGAATTATTATAATGGAGAAGGTTCATAGGGAAGGAGACTTTTGAGTTAGACTTCTTTTATAAGATCTGTGGTGCATCATGGGAGCTCTAGTGGCATAATGCCTAAGGCATTTGACTGCTAACCAGAAGGCTGGTGGCTCAAACCCACCAGCCACTCCTTGGAAGGAAGGTTAGGCAATCTATTTCCATAGTGATATCTCCTCGGAAACCCAAAGAGGGGTCACTATGAGTCAGATTCAATGGGAGGGCAGTGAGTATTTTTTTTTTTTTTTGGTGGTGCATTATCAAGGTTTCTGATGTAAGTGACATATTCACATGACTACAAAATAAATTGATACATGAATTTGAGAGGAAAGAAGCAAAAGGAAGAAACCCCAAAATGGAGCAATTTAAACAAAGTAAGAGATGAGAAGTTCAATGGCAGTGGAAACAAATGTATCTAATATATCTAAGAATAGTCATTAAAAATGCATGGATTTCCCAAGACTCAGCAAATGATAGCATGCAGAGCATGTGTGGGAATCAAAGATAATGTAAGACTTTCTCTATTTTTAGTGAATGGAAGGATGATAAAGCAATTAAACGAAATAAGGTGTACAGTCATAAACAACAAATCTTCAATGGGAGTGGTGGAATGAAATAAATTCTAGTCATGTTGAGATTAGGTATGCACAAGCCATCCATGGAAGAGAAATCAGATTCTAGAATCTAGGAGAGTATGCAAGGCTGAAGCTGCTGTAGTTTGGGGGACTGAGTGATCATTAAAGCTGATTGTAGGAAGTAAAATTGCCTTCCATCATTTTATCTGTGGAGATATAATGAAAAATATACCCCTGTAAAGTGACAGGGTGGGATACCAGAGTGAATACAAGAATCACAGATGAGGAACCAAACTTAGAAGCAACTAAAGAAGTTGTGCAAGAAATGTATTCACATAAGATTAAGTACAAGGAAAAGGAGAAAATTGCAAAAAAGGCCAAAAATGTTCAGAAAAAGTTTATGTAGGATGAGCAATGAGAAGAAATGATGGATTAACAATTAGTGGGAGCTTGATGATCCTCAGAGATGATAGTTTTGGGAGAATGTAAAAAACCATAAATAAGAATATAAGGAATAAAAGAATAAAGAGGATAGTTTGAGCTTAAGTCACACATACACACACACTCAGTGCCCACTCATATCTTCCTGTTTCATCATTATGTTCTCAGGGCCTAAATTTGTAGTAGGTACACACTAAAACTTTATTGAATGGCATGCTAACAAGTGAGCTAACTCTAGGCTTTAAAATGATGGGTGAACATTGCTTTTGTTGTTTGTTGTTATACATTAGTGTACTTTCAGGTTCTTTAAAATGAGTATATTATTTCCAGTACATTAATTTAAATAAACTTTTTTTTTTAAATGGAATTAATCAGTGGTAATAAATAATAGGAAAGCCTTTCAAAAAAATTGGCTGAGAGGGCAAGAAAAATAGGTTAAGTAAAGCCCTTGAGAATATGGAAAAAGTGAGTGTTTTTCAGCTCAAGGGAAGAAGACCATGAAGAATGAGGTATCAAAGACATAGTAGAAATGAGGGCATGACCAGGAAGCAAACTCCCTGATAGCAGGCTTAAAAAGATTTCTAAGGCATCATCTAGATGGTTGCCTCTAGACGTTGAAAGCAGGCACCTATACCAATAAAAGTTTCTGAGCAAGTCACTATATGTTCAGTGTATTTAGGAAAGTCCTCTTAGTGACCATGTTTGGAACAAGACAGAGAGGAGACTACTCCACAAACACAAAAATGGTGTAACATCTCCCTCTCCTGACTACCATGAATGACAGCTGTTCCTTTAGCAATGACAACTCTAGCCTCACTTTAATCCTCTTACCAATGAGATAAAAATTATAAATATAGCAAGTTACAGAATTCTCTTCACTTCTTGAAAACATGGAACTCAGAACTGGTTCTCACTTCCTTAGAAGCATCTCAATCACTAACCCAAATGTTATATGAAGCCTCTCCCAATTCCTTACTAAAATGCCCCATGGTTCTTCTAGAGTGTGTTCTCCCTTGCTACAGCAAGCAAATAGAGAGACAGCTGCTGTTGAGTCAATTCATGATGACACCATGGATAACAGAATGAAGTGCTGCCTGGCTCAGCATCATTCTCACAATCACCAGCACATTCAAGTCTATTACTGCAACTATATCATTCATTTCACTGAGGGTCTCCTTTACCTTGCTTGCCTTTTACTTCACCAAGTACAATATTGTCCTCTAGAGACTGATCCCTTCTGGTGATGTCTCCAAAGCAAGTGAATCACACAATGTTCTATTGTGATCCATAGGTTTTCATTGGTTGATTTTTCGAAGTAGATTACCAGACCTTTCTACCTACTCTGCCTTAGTCTGGAAGCTTCACTGAAACTTGTCCACCTTAGATGACTCTGTTGGTATTTGAAATCCCAGTAGGATAGCTTTCAGCAACACAGCAACATGCAAGCTACCTCAGGATGACAAAGTGGTAGATGAGTGATAAAGCAACCTAAATAAAACCTGTTGTCATTGAATCAGTTATGACTCATAGCAGCAATCCTATAGGACATAGTAGAACTGCTCCATGGAATTTATAAGATTGTAATCTTTACAGAAACAGAATATCACATCTTTCTCTCATGGAGTGGCTTATTGGTTTGAATTGTCTATCTTGCAGTTAGCTGAGTGATTAACCACTGCACTACCAGGGATTCTAACTCTCTATGACAACAGATGTGTTCCTACGGCTCTTTGGTAGGTGAACTTCAACACAAATCTATATATAAATTATATACATAACCAATATATTATTTGTACATTATATAAGAGATACTTTTGGAAGGTTCAAACAGGTAGGGCAGGCCAGGAAGTGGCAGGAACTGGGCTTTTAGAAGGCCAGAAAAGGTAAGG